TAAGGTGTGCTGTACTCCCACATGGTTGACCATGGTTCAAGCCTTGGACCTGCAAGCTTGAAAATCATGCTGTGTGCATGCAGGCCAAGTCCTAGGAGGAGAATGGAAGAGAAAGGCTTGCAGTATAGCCACGCCCCCCCCGGGGGGGGGTGATTTCTCACTTTTCTAATCACTGTCTCTTTCTCCCACCAGTGCACATGCCCTATGGCAAAACAATCTTTAGAAATAATCAGATGAGCACGATAATTTGTGTAAGACAACATTCAATGCAGCACTCAGAACAGTGGATGATGTAGGTACCTTAGGAACCCATTTTTTTAAAAGAATTATTTTCTTGAGCTTGCTTTATTTATTTATTTATTTATTTATTTATTTATTTATTTCATTTGACCAGAGAGGGACAGAGTGAGGGAGAAAGAGTGAGCGAGAAAGCAAGCTGCCAGGTCCAAGACTAGAACCGTGGTCAACCATATGGAAGTCCAGCACCCTTCACCACTACACCATCTGCTGGCTCCATGAACCCATTTTTAAGCACATGTTTGCAGCCATACATTAACACTGCCATAGAAACACAACTAGGATACATAATAGAATGACAATAGTCATCTTTGATAAAATTATTGATGCATTTTTATTTTCTGTCTCTTAACTTTAATTTTCCAAATTTTCTGTAATGTATAATTGTTACTCTATGCATAATAATAATAATGTATATTATTACTTTAGAATAGTGGATGAAGATTTACATAACTAGGGACCAGCAGTTAGCATAATAGCTATGTTACTGGACTCCCGTGTAGTCAACTGCGGTTCGAGTCCCTGACCTGCTGGCTTAAACTCATGCCAGGCACGTGTGTGTGCATGCCCAAGATCCTGAGAGGAGAATCGAGGAGAAGAGACTGCAGTGTGGCCATCTCCCCTGGGAGGTGATTTCTCGCTTTCTGTCTCTCTCTGTCTTTTTGGAGAGCACACGCATCCTATAGCAAAAACCTCTTATGTAAATCTCAAACACATTCTTACAGAGCAGTACTCGGAGTGAAAAATAAAAGTCCTATTATTTCCTTGCTTCTACATCTTTCCCTTTACCATAGCTAGCCATGTTTGAAAGTTTGATGTGTATATAATCCACTTCTATGGACCAATAACATACATAGGCATAGAAACATACTTTATTATCTAGCTGTCATTATACTATTTGTAGTGTTTTATCTCTTAATTTTCTTCACTAAACAACATAGCTTAGAGATCTTCTACCTCTTTGTAAATGGCTGAAGAAGTAAGTTACAGGAAAAGATTAAAGAGGCCTTGGGTGATTTGCTTCTGGCAGGAAAGCTTACAATGTAATACTATGTCCGAACATAAGTAGAATTTTGGTGAGGTGAGAGTTAAAGCAGATATTTTCTTTCCATGAGAAAATAAATAGGGCCCAATATAGTGATTAAGGTGTGCTGTACTCCCACATGGTTGACCATGGTTCAAGCCTTGGACCTGCAAGCTTGAAAATCATGCTGTGTGCATGCAGGCCAAGTCCTAGGAGGAGAATGGAAGAGAAAGGCTTGCAGTATAGCCACGCCCCCCCCGGGGGGGGGTGATTTCTCACTTTTCTAATCACTGTCTCTTTCTCCCACCAGTGCACATGCCCTATGGCAAAACATAAAAAAAAATATATATAAAAAATATAAAGAGAAACTAAATAGAAGAAAATAGTAGGCAAAATTCATTTGGCAAAAGAAGCCGTTTCTTGACCACCAGTCCTTAGACAGCACACCTCACAAGCTGAACCATCAGATTTCCTGGAAATCTTCTTCCCCCACAGCTTCACCACAGCATGTTAACAGAAAATCAAGAAGTAAACACATTCTTCATTTAATAGAGGCATGTTGCTTATTTTTGAGTTGTCTGGTTAAGTTAGTACGCCTTTCCAATGCCCCTCGTTCTGTAAGTTGTCAAAATCACAGTCATTTCAGCTATCCACTGAAGGACAATTCGCATGATGCAAATAAACTGCAGTAACATTTTAATTAATTACCATTCACTTTTCCCCAGGAAGGAATAACTATCCAGAGAGACTTATCAAAACATTTGGGTAGAATCTGATTCTAAAAACATGGACTTCAACCTACCAAATTTAACTCTCTATAATAAAATATTGAGAACCTCATTTCCTTTTATCTTAGACAAAGCAAACAAGTGAAATTCGACATTTTAATGTTGAACCCTAAATGTTCTATATACACATTCTTTATGCTAAAATACCAATATTGTTTTATCAGAATGTAGGAAACCCCATCAGTAACCTGCACAAATAAAAATGATGAATTCTCAAGCTTGTCCTATTAATGATTTTTGTTCTCATGTAGCACAATGAGACTGGAAGAATAATTCTAATATTCATGACTCAGGCTCAAGAGAGAGAAAGAAATACTAACCGACAGAGAAAACAAGCCTCTGGGACAGCATCTTTTCATATACTTTTATATACTTAAAGTACCAAGGTAAGGCAATTCACTGGTCCATTATATTTTTGCCAGCTTTTCCTAGAAGTATCAGTATCAAATCAAATGAACTAGAGATGCCCGAAGGAATTTAGCAGTCTAGTGTAACTGAGATGTGAAATATTGAGAAAAGCAAATAAATAAAATTCCTCAATCAATTCAACAATCCATGACTACTATCTTCTTCTATTTTTCTTTTGTGTGCATTCTTCTTTTTCAATTTCTGGTAACAATCAAGCAAAATTTGTCAAAGTTTTATGTTCAAAGCTTCAACTTTCTAGTTATTTCTCCTAAAGATCCTCCCCACTCCACTTCTCCTCTAGGGAGGCAGCAGGATTTAGGAGCCCAAGAGACCCATTGATGGTAGGACCTTATGTAACTTCAAATTAATCAGACTGCTTCATTTCGTGTTTCTTAAAGAGGGTATGCAGCGCAAAGAGGGGGCAAGAGGTGACTTTACGTGGTGTGCAGATACACTTATTTTTAACATAAAAATGTATGTTAGAAAAAGTAAACAATATAACCCATGATTTTCTCACTATTATGGACAAGATGGGGAGAAGTAAACCATACTTCACAGAAAAGTGGCAGAAAGACGTATCCAACTCCTGAAGGAGGTATGCAGCTGCGAATGTTCGGGAAGCTTTCAGTGCTATCTTTATCTCTGCGCCTCTGTGTTTAGCTCATATGGTATTCTCAGTGACTCAAGTACCTGCTACTGCTTCTCTCTGCTAGGTAGGCCTATCAGTATGTAAACATACCCACATTTTTCTAATCTTTAAACAAATAAACAAAGATCCAGCCATCCTCCCTTACTTCCCTTTCAGCTTTACTTCTTTCTCCTTCCACTCCCAGCCTGATTCACTTTTTTTTTTTTAAGTTTTTATCTATTTCTTTTATGAGAGTAAGAGACAAGAGAGACAGCACCCTCACAGGGTCTCACAACACTGCAACTTCCTCCCCAAGCCCTGTTGGCAGCCAAGATCAAGGGAACTCTCGCCTAGAATGTATTTTGACTTAGGAAACCAGGGAACTGAAGCAGCAATCTTCTCCACAGATCCAGTATCACTTGAACAGCGTGTGACCATCACACCACTGAGCTGGCCCTCCATCCGATTCTCAACACAGCTGGCTGTCCTTGCTGGCTGGATGCGTATTCACACCTCACACCCGTTCCTCGCCATGCTCCAATCTGGCTTCCACACCCGCCCAAGAACACAACCTACCTGAAGATACCCAATGAATGCTTCAATCATTATCTCACTTTCTCTTTCGGGATCATTCGATAGGATTGACCAAACTGTCATTTGCCAGGTCATTATGGTTTTCCTTCTTCTCTGGTGTGTTTTATTTTGTTTTGTTTTTAAAGTTTCTTCTGGTGGTTCCTTTTCCCTAAATAAGATGTGAATGTTGGTGTTCCTCATGGTTTATCTCTGACCCATTGCTCTCCTCATTCTACACACTTTCCCTAGGTAATCTCTTCCATTCTCCCATCTTCAAATACTGTCCATATACTGATTTTTTTTCCAGTTCTCAACTGCATGGCTCTAATTCAGAGCTCTTTACTTGTTTATTGAATTTGGATTTTCTCCAGAAATCTCAGTTATACCATGCCCCAAAGTGGAACTCATCAGTGTCCCCCTCTGTTCCTGTTGTAAAGATAAACAAGAGCATCCACCCAGTTCCCAAGCCAGTGACCATACTTCCTGACATCTGTCCCCAAATGTGCTCACCAAATACACCTCCAAGCCTACTCTTTCTATCCTACTGTCACACGGGGGTAAAGTCACTGTCATCTCTGCCTAATCAGCTATAACTAGTCCCATAATTGGCCCCATCCCATTGTCATCTTTGTAGTACGTGAACTTACTACATCATCTTAGGGTAGCTCCCCAGTTCTGTAGAATGTGGAACAAAGCTTCATGCAACTGGCTCCCCAGTACTCTCTCTCTTAGACCAAATTCTAATCATATGGAGGACATTCTGCTTCAAATTCCCCAATACTTTTGCCTCTGAGTCTCTATGCAACCTCCAGATGCTCTTTCTGCAGTCCCTGGATCACAGCTTTAGGTCTCAGCTTAACATCACTCTGTACTTCCCTGACATGTCACTCATCATTCTTTATTATAATTCTGTGTAATGTCTGCTTCCTTCTTCACACTGCACATTCCATAAGCATGGTAGCCACATCTGTCTTAGTCATCACTGTATTTTCAGGGGCTGGCACCGTGCATAGGAGTTGATATTCAATAAACACGTGTTGAGTGAAAGAAAGAATAAACAGCTTTTCAGACACTAAAAGAAAATAAGATATCTATGAGGCCTGTAAAGTCAAGCTGTCTGAATAGTAAATACTTCAATTTCATTTGAGTCCAGTAAACTTTTTTTTCAATTATCTAAAGAGTACTGTGCACATGGCTGTGAGAATCTACCAATTTTCAGCATCAAACCAAGATACACTCTCTTCCAAATGGTTTACAATCCGATAGGTTATTTAATAGTTACCTTGCTTACTTCCTTTAAGGCCCTTTTGCAGACTTCATACTTAGGAGACTCCTTAGGTGTTTTTTGACAGATTGTCTGTAATGAAGTAAAAGTGAATATATCAACTGATTTATTTCATTAAGTAAGATAAAATCCATGTCCAGCCATATTCTCTCACTCATAGCAAATTTAGCAAGGCTACACAAAGTATTATGGATGAGCACAAAGATGATAATCAAATCTAATTTTAAAAGTAGGAAATAATCTTTAAACACAGAGGATTCAAGTACGTGTAGGGTATGGTTAAATAAGAGAACAGATTCTTTTCAGATCTGCCCTTACTAGTTATCTGACCTTGGGCAAGTCACCAAACTCTGTCTTTATAAGGCTCAGTTTCCTCATATGTAAAGTCAGAATAATGCTGGTAACAACACAAGATTGTTGCAAGGGTTAAATGGCAAATCCCTCTTAAAAATAAAATCATCGGGAACCAGCAGTTAGTGTAATGGCTATGTCGCTGGACTCCCAGGTAGTCAACTGCCGTTCGCGTCCCAGACCTGGTGGCTTTAACCCCATGCCGGGTGCATGTGCATGCGTGCCCAAGATCCCAAGAGGAGAATGGAGGAGAAGGGATTACGGCGTGGCCATCCCCCCCGGGGGGGTGATTTCTCACTTTCGGTCTCTCTGTCTCTCTCTGTCTGTCTGGCAAGCGCACATGCCCTATAGTGAAAAACCTATCAAAAAAATAATAAAATCATCATTGTGATCTAGTTTTAAAGCAGAATTATGACTATTTTACATGGTGGTTAAGGTGCTGAACTTCCACATAGCTGACCATAGTTCAAGTGTCAGACCTAGTGGTCTCTCTCTCTCACCTCTCTCTGGTGACAGCAAATGCCCAATAGCAAATTAATAATAATAATAGTAATAAAGAAATGAAATAAATAAATAATGTTTAAAAATATTCTGATTTGATGAGAAGTTGCCATTTGGTTCTGTGTTGGGCCACACTGTTTTCTTCTCATGGCTATCCCTCCTTTATTAGCCTCTGCAGTCCCAGTGTAGTCAGGCACAGGCCCCCTGACGGCCGACCTTCTTTCCAGCTGCACTGCATACCATGCAGTCTCTACGCACTTCTCCCACCTCGTATCGCCATCATTCAAAATCAAACATTAGCTTTCTTCATGACTGTTGCCTAACACCAGAAGGACAACTGGCTTTCCTCTCCAGCATTGTACAAAGCATAACAGGGGCGAGTTTATACCTTCTAATGCCCAGAGAGTCTCATTCCCATGTGAAATGGAGCATCGTGGAACATTACAGAGGAAAGGAACCACAGTGCTCATAAGCCCAAAGAGATCAAGGGACTTTCCCAAGGCCACACACCTAGCAGCTCAGCCAGAAATGGAGTCCAGGCCTCCTGACTTAATGAAGCCAAAATTCTTCTCATTTCAAAAATGTTGACTAATTGGGTGATGTAATCTAGTTTCTTCAGAATGGCCACACCAACCTAAATGAAACTAATTCCAGAGATATCAGACATGGGTGAGACTTTCTGACCAAAGGGCATCACCTCATTTACTCGGGGGATTTTATACAAGGATACGCATTCATTTAACTAAAATGATCTTAATCAGATTTATAGCAGCCACTCTTACATCCATCAGCAGGGGAAGGCGGGTCACCCTCTGCATGGGCAGAATGAGAAAAGAGATCATGGGTAGGTTTCTACAGTCTTCATGGGACTCGATCCTTGATAATACCTCCTTAAAGGATGGGTTAGTGGCTCTGCAGCAAAACAAATAAAGCAAAGAGAAATTCAAACATTTTCCTTCTCTAGTTCAAGTAAAAGTAGAAGTAAAAGTATATTACAAAATACTGTGATAAATCCATATATTACCAAATATTTTTAAACACATGAAAACAACATATGCACAGTTGCATGGGTAATTACAGATGGCTTGTCTGCTTTTTATAGTCAAAGGTGAATATAAGATGTGAGTTTCACATAACACTAGCAGTAAAATAAAAATGTATAAAATACAGACATTTACAGAAGTCAAAGTAAATAAATGAAGAGGCGATCATAATGGTAAACACATCGATTATAAATTAGTATACAGATTAGACCTTGTATCTTGTCATCTAAAAATGCACTTCATTAAGATAATAAATAATATTTTTAAGCCACTGCTATAGCTTAAACAAAGAGATAAGAAAAAAAAAAACAGTTAGATTGAACTTATTAAAAAAAGGCTTTTGGGTATATTTATTTATTTATTTTTAATTTTGGCCAGAGGGTGTGTTTATTCGCTGAAGAGAGAGAGAAAGAAGAAAAGCAAGAAAGCAACCCCTTCTCCATTTTTCCATCCTTTTTTGGGATTTTAGGCATGCACACACATACATCTGGCATGTTACTTCTGAACTTGAATTGTGCAGTTGGCCATGTGGGATCCAGTGGCCTTAACCACCATGCCACAGGCTGGACTTCTGAAAAAAGACAGAAAACTTTCTCACTACATCACCAAGAATATTTTCCCTCCTCTCCCACTGACATAAGGTGGTGATAATGCTGCCACAGTATCTTATGGAGTTGGGCAAGATATTCCAACCTGATATGAAGGATCTTTAAAAGTTCATAGAAAATGCATATTAGGAAAAATTATGCATAGATTTCAAAGATTTTGGGCCAAAATAAACTCATACTTTAATTCCATTTCTTCGTGGTCTTCTTGAAGTTCCGTTGTATTATATCATGTGGAACCACCCATATAACTTTTAAGGAAAGTTAGGTGGGGATTCTGATAAGAAAACAGAGCTCAAGAGAGCCCCTAACTTGCAAGTACTGTAGACTTAGTACCTGGCAAAGACATATGTCAAATGGAATCCACCCTATGCTCTCATCCCGTCTCCTACTCTCTCATGTCACTTCACCCTATGAAGTTGGTCCCATGGCTTCCGCTAAGGGTGTGGGGAGTACAGGGTACTGTACTGCCACGCCAAACGGTGGGAGCAGAAGGCAGGTAGTGGCCACAGAGATCACAATTGTAAAAAAAAAAAAAAAAAAAAAAAAAAAAAAGTATTTTGAAAACGAGATGATTTGGTTCAAGTCTGTTTAAAAAAATTAATTGGTAAATATAATAGTAAAATCAAATAAATTATACAGAAATGTTTTATTTTCATTTTCTCCAATCAAGGGACCAGCAGTTAGCGTAATGGCTATGTCTCTGGACTCCCATGTAGTCAACCATGGTTCACGTCCCGGACCTGGTGACTTAAACTCACGCCGGTCACTTGTGCGTGCATGCCCAAGATGCCGAGAGGAGAATGGAGGAGAAGGAATTGTGGCGTGGCCATCCCCCCTGGGGGGTGATTTCTTGCTTTGTCTCTCTGTCTCTCTCTGTCTGTCTGGTGAGCGCATGCGCCCTATAGCATTTTCTGCAATCAAAAAGTTTGAGGTTTCCTTTCCTGAATGACTTGGGAAAGATTTTTAGTAATTTTTAGGAAAAAGCACTGATAATCAGACTCTAATCTGCTTGCATATTTAAATTACTCAGGCCCCAGCCTAACCTCTTTCAAAAGTCTCCTACAAAGGTTTTGATTAAACCATCTGGGATGGATTCAGGATATTACTTGCTAGTTTTCCAAAGATTCCCAGGCGTTACTAATGTGCTGCTAAAACTTGAAAGTCAGTGCTCTAATCTTGAATGCATGTCAGTGGCACCAAAATCCCTGAAAACACAAATGCTAATTTGTGAAAGCAAAAAGGATGGCGTCATTAAATTAATTTAGATAAAATCTATGTTTTTAAGAGGACCAGAACAGATAGCAGTACCTACTCAAGTTTTTTTTTAAATTCTTTAAAACAAAATGGAAAATAAAAACATATTGAGCTCTAATTTAAGGTTTTGTTTTCAAACATAAATTCACATTCTCCAATTACAGGACAGAATCAGCATCTAAATGAGTGTTTCCATGGGAGAAGGGGATTAAGGGAAGTGAGGGGTGTGATACTGCCCCTAGGATAGCAGACATTTTTAACATCCAGTGGGTAGAGCCCAAGGATGCTGTTAAACATCCTACGAAGTCCACCACAACATGGAGTTATCCAGCCCAAATGTCGAAAGTGCAGACAAACTCTGCTTTTTACTAAAATCCTCTTTTGAGATTGGCAGCCAGGGGCTTTCCTCCCTGCCCATGAGAGAATGTCTTGGGGATCTGGAGGGGCGAGGCGGAATAATCAACCCTCACTATTCCTGTCTCATGGCAGCTCTGTACTCCTCCAAGCTGCCAGGAGGCAGCCATGGCCAACCTCAGCCCTCAAAGCGCTCTCACACACTACATGGAAGCCAAACAGGGGCACACTGTCATCATTAATACCACAACTCAAAGGAGAGGGTGAGAATAATAACAGCTTGAAAGCCCCCGAGCTGGATTTACAGAGCGCACAACTGCACTGTAAAACAGGCAGCTACTTGTGATAAATACGGTCCCTAAACATAAAACTATCATGCTATTAAACAATTGCTGACTCTTCTAAGGATAGACATGGCATTCTACATGATATCAAAACTCTCAGGGGAACCAGCAGTTAGCATAATGGCTATGTCGTTGGATTCCCACATAGTCGACCACGGTTCCTGTCCCGGACCCGGGGGCTTAAAAAACTCACGCCGGGCGCGTGTGCATGCGTGCCCAAGATCCCGAGAGGAGAATGGAGGAGAGGGGATTGCGGCGTGACCATCCCCCCTGGGGGGTGATTTCTCGCTTTCTGTCTCTATGTCTCTCTCTGTCTGTCTGGCGAGCGCACGCGCCCTACAGTGAAAATCTCTAAAAATAAATAAATAAATAAATAAAATAAACCTCTCAGTAACCTACTCAGAAAAGGTGTGGAGGGAAATCAAAGCTTGCCTTTTTTTAAAGTTGGGATTCCTTTTTGTACTATATTTAAAATCTTGAAGAACATTATTTTCTATTGCCTGCCATCAGACCATTCCTCCTCTCCTCAGCCCTAAGTACTCAAAAGGGCAGAATCAGCAATTCCTATTAACAAGTTACTATAGTTGTCAACTGAATGGAGGGGTTTAGAATAGCACAGAAAGTCCTGCATCCTCACTTCTTAGCTCCACCTATTCAAACACCTGTTCTAGGCCTCAGGCAAATCACTTAATTGCCAGTTAACTGCTTTAAAAACTAGGGGTTTGGGAGTGATAATCACCTTAGTGTCTTGCAGAAAAAAAAAAAAAAAAAAAGCCTTACACAACACAAGAAACAAAAACAAAGACAATAACAAATTATAACTCCATTAAGTGCTTTAGAGAAATTTTCCACATATTATTTTCTTCTCAAACACCCTCACCATAAAAGTAATCCTTTTAACCATTTCTACCCTGGGAAATAGCCCATTAGGAAACATTTCCAAATATTATATCAGAGATCAACTAATTTTCAATCCATGTGGCTTCATTAAAACTAAGTTAGACTATTAAAACTGCAGCATTCAATGTTGCTTACAACAATTTTTGTAGTGTTCGTTGTTGGTAGACTTCATTTGTGCAATATTTCACATACGGGTCAAATGTGGATGCTGTGTGTTTTTCCACAATGTCACTTATATCGTCTATGAAGATATTATTCTGATGTCTTGCTTCCAACTCTGTAAAGAATCTAGGGAAAAAAAAAGAAAGAAAGGCATTATACTTCTTCCATATATTTTAAGAGAAAACAAATTATCCTCATATAATGCTATTACGAAAGGTTAGAAAATGTCAGCAGCACACACTATCAACTCAAAAAAATAAAAACAAACCATGAACATTTTGTCTAAATTTTAACATATTAGATTAATACCTTTTTATCTGAAGTGTCTGGTTTAAAACACTGATAATCCTGGGCATTCCTCTGCCTTCAGGTATATTTTTAAATAGGCAAATATTGTTTTGCAAGAATTCCCTAGATATGAGGGGGAGAGAGTTCATGCCTACATATTTTATTGTACCGAAATGCTCATGAGAAAAACACCAATAAAATGTTTTTTAAAAAAAAGTCCAAGATAAACCTGATTTTATGTGTCCTTTCTCTCAAAATGAAGAAGCTCAAATTATTTGAAATCTAATAATATGAACAGCATTTGAATGTTTTCATAACATAGATTACAATTTAGAGTTACCAGATTTAAAGTATAGACAGACTGATAGCAATTTAGAATTGTCAGATTTAGTGGGGGGTGTGTGTGTGTGTGTGTGTGTGTGTGTGCGTGTGTGTGTGCAATAAAGTATTCAACTCCGGAAGAATCAAATGTAAGCGATGTCTAGGGCAAGGTACGATGGGCAGATGCGTCAGAATTCCAAGACCCTCTCTGCCCACTACCCTCCAAGCACCTCAGTATACTCACTCTGGGTTCCATCATTTAAGGGTTTAAATGGAGGTCTCATTATATAGGGACAACTGAATATATATGAGGGGACTTCGAAATGATCGTGAAAAAAATAATATTAAAGTATGGGTTTATTTTAGTGTAGAAAGGTTGAAATCTTATGTGTAGTTTTTCGATAATCAGTATTAGCTTTTGAAGGTCTCTCATCTGTTGATAGTTTCCACCTTTTGACTATATGGCTAATGCTGCTATAAACATTTACACACAAGTTCCTGTCTGAGTATCTCTTTTCAAATTTTTGGTGTATGTATCTAGAGATAATTTTGTTTTTTTTTGAACATAGGGTCCATGAGTTCACCAGAGAGAGAAGGAGAGAAGGAAAGTGAAAAAATCACTTCCCAGGGTGATTGGCCACACTGGAATCCCTTTTTCTCCATTCTCCTCTCAGGATTTTGGGCATTCACACTCACATGACTGGCATGATTTTTTAAGCTGTGAGGTCTGGGACTTAAACTGTGATCAGCCATATGAGAATCCAGCACTTTAACCATCATGGCACCTGCTTGCCTCCCAGAGGTGAAATTTTAACCACACTAACTCTATATATATATATATCAAGAAATGATAGCATAATTCTAAGAATGAATGTGGGAGAACCTAAATATGCCATGAGTAGTTTACTAACTACAAACTGAGTAAGAATGATCCTTTCTCTCCTAACACTCACAGTTGAGCAGTCAATGGGAGGCATGGAGCCAATTAAAACGCAGGCTCTGTAAAATGAAACATTGGATTTTCATCCTCTGTGCTTGGAACACAACTCCTAAAATCCTTGGCATCTCCAGAGCGGCAAGAGTGTTATCTGTGTGCTAATAGGATGACTGGTGGCCGAGGATGCCTTGACAGCTTCAGGATGGGGGCTGACCATGGAAAGACCAAGTGATGATTATGGAGTCAAACATTTCTGAGGAAAAGGAGCTGGAGGTTGAGTTCAATCACCAAAGGACAAAGATGTAATCCATCGTAAGTGCCTACTACCTGCGTAATGAAACCTCCATTAAATCCCCTAAACAATGGGGAGAGTTGGTGGACTAACTGGGGTGCTGAGAGGGTAGTGGGCAGACAGCGCCTGGCAGCTCTGCCCCTCAGACATTGTCCTATATATATGTCTCTTCCATTCGGCTGTTCCTGAGCTGTATCTTTTATAATAACCTAGAAATAGTAAAGAGCCTTGGTGAGTTGTGAGCTCTCCTAGCAAATAACAGCCTGAAAGGAGGGCCTTTGTAGCCAAGTAGAACAGAGGAGTGGGTAATCTGGGCACCCAATACCAACTCTAGGCAGTTGTCAGGACTGAACTCTCCAGCTGGAGTTGAAGAACTGGTTTGTGTGACAGCTTGAAAGGCATATGATGAAAATTCCAGAGGGCAGGGCAACCGCCCTATAAACAGGTGAGGAAACATGTGAGCTGGGTCAACAGTGACAGGATGTCGTGATCCAAGCAGAGGAACAGAGCCCTGAGGGCAGGGGAAGCAACCTGAGCAGAGGCATAAGTCTTATGCAGGAAACTAAGTAGTTCATTGAGTCGGAGGTGAAGGTAACAGTAGGAATAAGGGCAGGAAGAAAAAGCGGGTTAGAGGTAGTCTGGAAAGGCCTTATGGCATGCCGAGGAGCTTGTGCATAATTTGTGGATGAGAAACCATTGGAAGTCATAAAAGCCAACAGATCATTCAACCAGACAGAAAACTGGGACAGAGGAGCAGAGAAAGGCTGGACTGTAAGTGGAAAGAGAGAGATGGAAAGCAGGCCAGTTAGATGGCACGATTAGGCAAGTACAATAAAACCTGGCAGTGGGAAATCAAAAAGAAAATACACAAGTAAAATTAATAGAATTGAGAAATTGATTCAATGGGAAGCCAAGAAAGACACCAGGATTTCCAGCCAAGGGTTCTACCTATAAAACCAGTTTGATCATTTAACCATTTAATATAAGACAGGGAATCAGGAGGAGGGAAAAACAGGACGGAAACTGTTCAATTTTGCCTTTGAGATATCTAATCGACAGCTGAAAATGCACATCTGTGAGAATGAGAGGAACTGGGTTTCTTGATACTGTCAGGACTTAACTTCTTTCTGATTTCACATAAATGCAAAACTATTTCTAATTTAAGTGCATTTTTTTAAATGTAAAATTTAAGAAAATGTTCAAAAAGAAAGAAAGAAAGAAAGAAAGAAAGAAAGAAAGAAAGAAAGAAAGAAAGAAAGAAAGAAAGAAAGAAACCACTCCTAAGGTCATTACCATGTAACTCCAGTAAATAAGTATCTTGGGGCAAATCTCTCTTACAGTGTCTTGTCTTTAGCTGTTACCAATCTGAAGGAATGAAGCTATATGATGAAAAACAACAGTAACTTGGCTTTTTCCAATGAAAAGGAAAATTTCATTTATCACTGTGAAAGGTTTGCCAAAGATAAAATTAAAAACAAGGTACTAATAAAATACCTGTTTATGCTACTTACATTTAAAATAATATAAACTAAACCACTCACCTTTTATTTTGACATGAGCATAATTAAGACATAATTTAAAGCTTTCTATGTTAAATGATCTATGAGTGATTTCGGCAAATTTGCATACTTGATTAAGTGAGCTGAGACCAAGGAAGTATTACCGAAGAATAAGGTACTGTTTCAGAAACCAATAATGCTGGCTATTCAAATAAAATCTGAAACAAAAGTAAAAGCATGCTATTTCCCTGAATGGAAGCTGAATAGGTTTATAAAGTAACTTGGCTTCTGTGGAGGGTAACTTTTTAATAGAAATATGTATTTCAGCTCTATGAATTTTTTTATTTCTGGAACAATGCCTTCATTATCTCATTACCAAGATGGTCATGTTTTATAATCAATCATGTTACACGTTGCATTTATTTTTCATACCAAAATTCCAATCTTATCACTAAAGTCTAGATTGTTAACAACCTCCTGTGGACCAGGAAAGGCTGCTTAAAGAAACTCCCTGCTAACTGGAAACCCAAATTAACTCAATCTGCCTACTAACTCACCATCACCAGTGCGATCACACCTATACTTCAAGTGAGTGTTTGAAATGATTGCAGACTGACGAGCCATGCCCTTAGCTGTACAGAAAACAGTAAGATGTCAGAATAGCAGAAGAGTCCGCAAGCACACTAGGTGCAATTGCCAGGGAAGAAATCAGGGGACTGGTGGCCAGCAATGTGCTCTGGTCCTGGCTAACACAGTGTGATCAAGTACTAGCTTACAGGTGCCCTGTGAAACTCTCTGGAAGTCACGGATGACACTCTTGGTGCCCTACTCCCCTGTGCTTTGCCTAAGGAATTTCCCACTCATCTTTCTAGTCTTGAAAATTCATCTCCAACAGAAAGCTTTCTCTGACCCATTTGGGATGGGCTAAGGTCCCTTGTTTTATACCTTCATAAACCTCTATTTATTTTTCCTTCAGCATAACTATTACATTCCCAATTAATTCTCATGATTTTTATTTTCTATTGTATCTCTTAGCAAGGTCTAGAGGACAGGGGCCTTATTTTCTATAATCATCACTATGTACCCGGGCCCTAGCACAGAACTTGAAACACTACATACAGACAGTCAACTTTTGATACATAATCCATGGATGAATAAATTGAATTTGTTGTTAAATAGAAAATCATAAAGATGAAGCCCACTCCAGGAATTTTGTTTTATTGTTATTTTACCAAGAAAGTATCACCCACCAATTGGCCAATCTCTGCCTGTTTTGAAGTTGTTCTGACTGTAGCTTTCTATGCTCACTGGAAAATCAAGTCAGCATTTATTAATGGACTGCAATTTGGGTTCCCAGAACTGTGCTAGGTCCAGTGAGAGCCATAGGAAAGACACAAACTCACAGCACCAGCTATTATAATCCTGTCTAGTAGGGTCACTAAAATGAGACCCAGTCCAACTGAGAGTTCCTTCAATGCCAGCTGCACTTGCTGAAAAACTTGCCAGATCAGCGCCTCCCCCACTCTATTAAGGGAGAATTCCAGCCAGGCCAAGAAGCTCAGCAATCTTGGAACTCTAGCTCTGGAAGCAAAGGACAAGGGCTCTGGTTATAATCAGCGCTGTTCTGTGCCTTTCTCAGAATGGCATCCTTTCAAGGTACTTTTCCTTCATTAATAGCCATTTCCCTAAAGCAACTTAAATCATTCTGGGACTTCTTCCTTATTTGAATGAGCTGTCCATCTATCTAAGTGGCTGCAGTAGCCCGCCAAAGAGCATCATAGTGACATAG